CAATATTTTTAATATTTCTTAACAGATAAAACATTTATCATTTTATCTTTGTTAATAGATTTTCAAAATGTTTTTTTTGACGCTTCCATTACAGCCTCTAACTCTATCCCATGAACCTTTCCTCCCAACCTTTTACAGCCATCAAGAGTTTATTGTTCGTCAGCCATTTTCTTTTTTTTTTTATTGATTAACCTAACTAGAAGACCCTTCCTTGCTGTTCATTTCCCAACAGTGAGCTCAGGAGACCTAGTTAGATTTTTATTTTTTTTTCTCTCATCGTCCGGCTCATCATTTTTTTTCATCTTTCAACTTTTTTTTTTTCATCATACAAGCCGGACACAATCAAATTTGACAGCAATAAAGCTCTTGCACCCACCTCTCCTTTTCCGCATCCTTCAGACCTCCAACCTTCCAAGGGATTCCAGTTCGCCAAACATTTTTATTTTTTTTCATTGATTAATCCGACTGGAACAATCCTTCCTCGTTATACGAATTCCCCATAATGAGTTCAGGATATCCAGCGTGATTTTTTTAAATTTTTTTTTCTCATCGCCCGACTCATCATATCAATTCACCATTTTTCAACTTTTCAATTTTTTTTTCATCATTCAAACGGGCATAATCATTATAGACAACAGGAATCCCTCTTACCTCTCCCTCTTACCCCATCAATCTTCCCACGTCTTTTCACTATCTGAGCTAATGATGCAGACGGAATATCTTGTGCCTTCTGTTAATGAAAACAATGCCTCACTTAAACAAGTTCGCATTGCATTGCAGAATGCTTGGGATACAACTTTGCAGAAAAATGCTCAGATACCCGCTTTCCCTTTTCCTACCTTAGCGTCACATTATATGTTCAACCAATAAACTAACTTTTTCTCCGCTCATGTTTTATGCAATAAGATATTTTTACTTATACGAATCATTTTACCATATTTACCATTTTGCGTTATAGACTTTCCCTTAATCTTGTATCATTCATTTTGAACCTTTTTATTTTTATAACCTTGTTTTATATTTCATTGATACACCACAATTACAACATCTTTCTCTGTTTAACTTGTAACCTTTTAATAATTTTAACTAATTTGTATGCAAATTATTTCTTTTTTTTTATATATAATAGGTTTGTTAGGTTATCATTCATTACATGTCATTCCCCCAACCAAACCTTCATCACCGGGGACACATTCTGTAGTATATTTTTGTGCGAGACAGTTCACAACCTTCTGATGTTTATTGTAATCCCATCTCTATATAACTATGTATCAACCTTGTATGATGTATCACAATAAAGCGTATCAACCTTGTATGATGTATCACAATAAAGCAAAGAGGGAGGTAGACCAACGACGCCATAGATCAAACTATCGCAACCAAAACCAAACTATAGAAACCAAAATCAATCCATCGAAACCAAAACCTGAGATGAAAGGCTAGACACCGAGGCGCGCCGTTACGCCTGAGCAAACAAACAGCTTGACCAGCAGCCAATGAGATTCAAGGCCAGGGTAGACGGCTGAGAGTGGCTATATATAGGGGTCGTTAGAAAGTTTCGTCAGTCAGATAGTTGGAGAGTTAGATAGATAGTTGTAGTTGTTTCCAGAGCGACCCCGTTACAGTCGGTCGGATCCCTCACCCCTATCCGCGATGTAGGGCATCCGTGGCGTCCGGGTCCGCTGTCTTCGTCCGTGGTCTACCTCTTCCTCTTGAAGTTACCACCTAGACCTGCCTCTGTCTCTTGTTGTCCCAGTGCGGAAAATCCCATCACGCACACACTACCACGACTGCACCCAGCACATTCCACATCGGGTTTACTACATATATATATTTCATAAATCATATATATTCTCTAGAATTTCATAGAAATCCGTTCGAGATAGTATATATAACACAATTAGAATAATTATGAAAATAGAGCAATCCATAAATTAATCTTTAAATAAAAAGGCATATATTGGATCAAAATATCATTTAATTTACCGATATTTCAGTTGGCTGAACGCCAACCTTTATCAAGGTGTTATAACATATTAATGTGTGGCGTTCATCCAACTGATATATTGGTAAAATAAATGATATTCTGATCCAATATATGACTTTTTATTTAAATTAGAATAATATATGAGATACATTTATGAGAGACGAGGTGAAATTACGTATATAAATAATTATATGGCGCTCAATATATAATATATATATATATATAGATAATAATTTCACTTTTTATCAAGAAGCTTACGTTAAATGTTGACATCATCTAAGATTTATGATGAGAATAACTAATTGAAAAGGATATTTATTTTTATCTTAGAGCGATACACGGTCAAAAGTGAATTAATTTATATAATAAATGCTTTCGAAGTTGATATGGAGAGTAAATATTTGGAGAGGTTTTTATATGAAGGATAAACTCTCTCAAGATGGATTATATATGATTAAAATAAATATTATATATATAACATATCTATATATTCCGAATAAATATAAAATTTGCATATTTATCGAAGTGTGATTATAATTGAAGGTAGTATATATATGTCGTAAAATAAATTTCTATCTGACTTCTATAATGAGATGAAAGGATATGTTAAATTATATGTAATACTGAGTCAAGAGGATAAATTTGTTTTTATTTTCATATGAATTTCTTTATAATATCTATATGAAGATAATAAATAGGAATAATGTTCAATTATGTGTTGGGACTGAGTAAAACTATTAGAATTCGTTATATATATATATATATATATATATATATATATATATATATATATAACATCTATATTTAACCAACTTTGCAAGCATTTTACGCGCTTCGGGTTTTCGATAAAAAAAGATTTAGTTGAGCATTTCTTTTATATAAAATTTGTTATTTTATTTTTATATAAAAATATTTTTACACATAGTACAAATAATTGTAAATATAAAATAGGCGTTATTGTTAATATTCAAAATATTCACACCCTCATTTTACAAATTTTTTCCGTAATATAAATTATTAATATATCAATTTTTTCTTCTCCTCATTGAATATAAGCAAAAATATTTTTTAAAACTCAATTCTATTGAGGTTATGTGGCACTGAGTTTGTTGTTGACACACATCAAAATGTTATAATACTTTGATAAAGGTTGGCGTTCAGCCAACTGAAATATTAGTAAAATAAATGATATTTAAATCCAATACATGCCTTTATAATTGAAGATTTGAACATCCATATGTAGAATATATATAAAATAGGAAGAGAAATGTTCAATTCGTGTAAGACTAAGTGTGTAAAAGAATTTCTCTATGACATCCATATGGAGAAGAAATGGGAAGAGAATGGATGTTTGTCTAGGTGCGATACACGGTGTGGCTGGCGTCAAATATTTACCTCACGCTGTAAGCCGGGGAGAGTGTACTCCCGTTCAATACAGCTTGCTGGTAGTCTTCGTCTGCTACATCTTGCAGGGACATTTTTCCTCATCTCTTTTACTATTAATATTATGTATATTATTTAAATATATATGTTTATAAAAAACAATAAAAATATATATAAAAATATCACGGAACAAGTTAAAAAACGAACGATGAGCGGTCAGGATATGCAATTTTTATTTCCAAATAAATATATTGATATTTCATCTATGATTAGTTTTAAATTCCACTAAATGTTTAATATTAAGAGAATAAGTAGTGTTAAAATATTGATTATAGGTCAATTTTAAAATGGCATTATTTACTAGAGTAAAACTGCAGAAAATAGTCTGAATGTCTTTTAATAGATTAAATTATCTGTTTTCACAAGTAACTGCTAAAATATTGGATATTTGTTTAGGGTGAAAATTCGTAAAATATTGATTCGTTAATCAGAATAAGTAGTGAGACAAGAAATAAAGAAAGTTCAGTTTAAAATGGCGTTATTTACTGAGCCAACGCTAATGATTGGAGGCCAAGTCTCTAAGGAAACCCGCAACAAGATCATTAAGTAAATTTTGTTGCCCCATAAATTAAGTAATGATAGAGACGGCTGTGAAATCTGCCAGAGAGCTACACCTTACTTACACTAAACATTGAATTCTTGAAGTTACATGGACAAGTGCATTTATGTACATTCACAAACGGTATTTATGTACACTTATTATAAATTTAACACATATTCACTCCTCTATCATTCTTTTAATATTTATTATTCAATATATCAATAGTTATTTTTGCCTCTTGATTGCAAGAAAATATTTTATTTCTCTAAAAGGAGAGAGAAAAAAAGAAAAATGTATCCATTAAGAATCCATCCATCTTCTATCAATAGACACAAAGAAATACCCATTCAACATAGAATATTAATTTACTTGGCTATTATAAATACAACTCCTGTTCTAAATTAATAATAGTTATACAAAATCAGTTTCAATAATTGCGTTATTCACAATATACGTGTATTGTTGACTTTGTTTAGACTTTTTAAAGATACTGAACCCAGGAATTTTGATCTTCAAACATTATTTCAATTGATTCACAAGTATATGAGAAAAAACAAACAAATGAACAACTTATAACAATAGTAAACAAAACCTTCATCTACTTCTAACGGTTAGCGCTATTTTCTTGTTATCTACATACATTTGTTCTCTGATTCTGGTATTGATGCTTCTCCCAATTTCCCCGAAATATATGGTTGAAAAGTTATTGCATTTGATTGAATCTATTCCGGTTGGTTTTTAAGATATATATTGATATGTTTATTTTGATGGCTCCATTTTGCTTTTGGATGGAGTTCTATAATTTAAGTGGATACCATTTCTATTCAGAAGCCTGTAGTTAGCAATATATAATACAATATAATGCGGCTTATGGTTGTAAAACGACCTTTGACAAGTTTTACCCCCAAATGTTACTTTTGACCGAAAATTCGTATTTTATTTTATGAAAAATAACTAATATTTTTATCCTTAGGGATGAAGTATGAAAGGCTTAATTGTGAAGAGTAATGATGAACGGAAAATAAAACTTTCTAGGGATGGGAAACGAACCCACAGTGTTCCGCTTACCGGGCAGATGCCATGTCCATTAGGCTACCCTGGGGGGGTAGATATTTTTCCGTTTGTAAATATTATATAAAATTAATTTATAATACAAAATAATGCAGTTTATGATTGTAAAACGACGTTTGACAAGTTTTACTGCACACTTTTTTTTCGGTTCATCATTACTCTTCACAATTCATCCTTTCCTACTTCATCCCTAAGGATAGATATAGTCGTTATTTCTTCTTAAAATAAATCACGATTTTTCGTTTAAAAGAAACATTTGTGGTAAAACTTGTCAAACGTCGTTTTAGCAATATATCTCGATAGTTATAATCTAGATATGTTATCCAATTAATTTATATAATTCCTTCCAAAAGCAATATGACCATAAATTCAATTCAGAAAATGAACAGAGCAATATATATCTTTCCAAACAAAACTAGAATATTATGATGCATTAGCGCGCCATTCTTTTAAAAATTAAACAATTTATACAGCCCTTACTGAAATATGGGAAAATTAATGGGAGGGCCTGGCTCATCAGTGGTGAACCCTACAGCGGTTTCGTCAGTTTAATATACCATACCGCTGTTATATTGCATTTTTCGATTTTATTTTATAGTGATATTAATGCTAGAATCTTGAAATGGTATTTAGAAGAACTATGGACATGAGCTTTGAGGACAGGAAAATTACATACAATTATAAATATTTAATTAAAAAGGCATATTTTGATCCAATATATGCCTTTTTAATGGGGGGTCGGTGGAAGACTGGTTAAACCATTTGGGTTTCGACCACTACGACCCGGGTTCGATTCCCGCATTGGACACTTTTTCTGATTAAAAAAAAATGCTCCAATGGCTCCCGATTCTTGCAAAAGTCCAACCCCACCAGCGAGTGCAAGTAACCAAACGGGGCTTTGGCACATTTGTAAGTGCAAAGTCAAACTGCTTTTCACATGTGTAGCTTACAGTGCATACAGTAAAAGCAGTCGCTAACTACCCACCATTATCATGGCCTGTGCCAAGTGTACTAGGGATAATTAAAAAAAAAATTAAAGACATATTTATGGATTGTTCTATTTTCAAAATTATGAATATATAATATGCTCCGAGAAATCGCTCTTCTTAGAATATATTCATCAAATAAAATAACTGTTTATATTATGATGCATTAGCGCGCCATCAGTTAAAAAAATAGGAAACATATTGGTAGTTAACTAAAACTAGCGAAACCGCTGGAAGGGTTCACCACTGATGAGCCAAGTCCTCCCATTAATATTTCCATTACAGTAAAGGCAGTAGAAATTGTTTATTAAAAAAAATCATACACGTCTTTAATAGTTTCGAATTTACAATAACTGTTTTCACATATATTTATGGTAAATAAGAAGAAACCTCAATACAAGAATCAGAGAAAAATAACTAAACACCCACACTGGAAACTACCAGAAAAATTACAAGATACCAGTGAAACAGAAAATACCTTTATATGAATAACATATCTATTCAGAAGCCTGCAGTTAATAATAAGTTGATAGTTCTATCATTTTAAAATCATTCGCTTTAGCAGATATGTAGCATTCTTCAGTGTCATGCACATGTTGGGCTCCGTATAGAAAACGTATTTATTTATTCATCCGAACACAGAATCTAAATACTCTGTTACCGACTTGTCAAACTCTGTTCTGATTCACCTATATTTATAAATAAAGTAGGCATATCCTGACCAGGAGCACATGTGCTTTACAGAAGGCAGAGCGCCATCTGTTGGAACAGAAATCAAATAAACATTAATTTAGCCTGTTCCCTGACATTTGGCCAACCCAATTTCTTGATAAATCAAGAAAAGCCATCCACGAACACGTTTCGCGCTTTTGGCGCTCGTCAGCGCGGAGTCGGCTGTACCACTGCCACCAAAAATAATGTTGATACCAGAGGCTTTTTGAAAAACCGAGAAATGGGTATTTAAGGCCAAACTTGCGTAAATACGATTAACACATGAAAAGATAAACACTATTTTATACGATTTTAAATACACAAAGTGAATTTTGAATCTATAGGAAACTTTTTACCACGATATTCCGATGAGAGATATGGAAATTTCATTACTAACAGATAATATTAATGACGTGCTTTCTATATTAAACTATTTCATGATTATGAAAAAGGTTCCATTATTTACTTTTAAATAATTCTTGATAAACGCAAGATTTATAGTTTAAAAACTCTTTTACGAGGGTGTTTATTTCATTTAAAAACATTAAATGTAATATACATTATTAGATTGTCTAAGAACACGAGAAAAGACACGCGGTGAATGTCTTTACTTGGCTGAAGAGATAAATCGTCTGAAAATATATTGCTTTCTCTTCCATATGTTTCACAAATTGGGTAATGAAGATATCCTCTTCAAATAGATAAATATAATGTGATTTATATAAACTTTGTGATTTATAAACCTAAATTATTTATTTTGAAAATAGAGCAATCCATAAATAAATCTTTAAATAAAAAGCGATATATTGGATCAAAAAATCATTTATTTTACCAATATTTCAGTTGGCTGAACGTCAACCTTTATCAAGTTGTTATAACATATTTAATGTGTGTCAACGAATCATGTTGTTGACACACATCAAATATGTTATAACACCTTGATAAAGGTTGGCGTTCAGCCAACTGAGATATTGGTAAAATAAATTATATTTTGATACAATATATGCCTTTTAAATTAAATTATTTATTAAATTTTGTGTTTTCTTTCATTTAACAGACTTGGCGAAGGTTTGTAGAATATTAAGCATATACATATTATTTGGGAGATATCGAGTAAGCACTGAGTCATGTTGCTAGGAGAGTTCACAGTTGCCGTAAATGTCAATAAATAAGAGTTCACCTCATCGCAGCAAGTATTGAAAAGTGAGTGAACGCTGAGTCACCCGAAACCTTAATTAGATGAAAGTTAAACTCTAGTTGCCTCTCTTAAATTTCCAATATTTTCTCAAGTCGTCAACCGCCTAATTTTAAAATAAACCTCTGAGAGAGAGAGAATAATCTCTAATTAATTATTATTTTAATTAATTTTAGATTGTGTGCTAATTTTAGAAAGATTGGTGCTAAATAATGAATTTGTAGCGTAAAAACGACATTGAATAAAATGTGAATTTTCTTTTTTTCTCTTCAAATAATCAATGTTCATGTTATATATTTGTGGTATATGATAACTGTATTCCTGCATAGATATGTATAAATAAGAAATTAACACAATAACTAGTTAGAATTATTTCATTTTTTTCACTTCAACATCAGTTTCTGTAACCAATAAAATTATATGGGAAATATTCAGGAGGGATCATCAGTCTTTACTGGCAGTTTCGGCAATTCAATACCAAACTACCACAATTCTTGAAATTTAAAGTAAGATAATCATCCAAATATATCGTGCCAGTAGAATAACGATAAATATCGAAAACATGTAGAAATATATTGTGGCAAAAATATTCCTTACACTAAAATAATAGCAATTGTTTATCGATCCTTGTTCAATTCTAGAAAGATGCTCATTGACAAAATTCAAAGAAGTGGAAAGTATTTGATGTCTCCGGTTACTCCGGTGTGTCTCTGGAGGACTAACCCTACCGATGAATTAGGCTTAATAATCAGACGTCATCTATCGAATGTATATGCAAACTAGCGCAGACTCAGGTCAGTGACAAATCCACAACACTTATCTGGAGACCTTGGGCTTTATTTCCCACGTCAGTCCTAGACGGGCTTTGATTTAATGAGATTCAAAAGAAATTCTAAAAATCTTCAGAATGTTTATTTATGCTAATAACAGCTTAGTGCATAGTGGCGCCTACACGTTAGATCAGTGTTTCCTCTATAAAACTAGTGTTAAATTGATAATGGAGATCACTCAAATTATAAAAAGAATAAGTGCATGCTTCACTTGTTTTAGAATGTACAATGGGAGTCGCTGAACACGTGGTCCGTTGGATTTCGACCAATACGACCCGGGTACGAATCCCGCTTTGGGAACTTTTTTTTTTTTTTGAGAAGGCAGAGTAAATTTTTTTCATACTTGGTTGTCTCTTGTATCTTCAATAAAGGTCACTGTTCATCAAATATTTTAAAGAGATATTTTCTGAATCCTGATATAGATACTAAAAGGTACAACTTCCTTAAGTTATGTCCATGTGAATGTAAATATTTTCATTAGCTTCAAATTTTGAAGTGAATCTTTTACCAACTCTATTGTTGTAGTTAAAGGATTTGGGTTTACAAGCACCTAAAAACTGTGCAGGAGCCAGCATAAAGGTATAATATGTGTGAATATTGAAACCTTTTGATAGAAAAGTTCTACAAAATTGTATTTTAATATAAATTCAAAAACAATCATTCAAAAATATCTAATTTCATAATTCTCTATAACTACGATTACTGAATGAGGACCTAAACATAAAATCTTCAGTAAAAATTAAAAAAATAATAATTGATATCATTGAATAAAAAAGTCACAAATACCTTTGGAAAAATAAAATGAGGAAGAGCATGAATCGGGACAAAAGAAAAGGTATCGAAGAAAATACAGCTCCAATAAAACAGAACATGTCGGGGTGAAGAAAATTATAATCCGGCTGTAAGAAATTACCCGCTACCATTTCATTATGATAAAGTTTCCATCGGTGGTGAGAATTTTAAACAGCCTAATTTTGTAAATGGTTTTCTTTGAAACCCCGAGAGTGGTTTTTCCATCCAATGGAAATTCTGGCGACGTATAGATTTATAAGTTCCAAGGCTGGCGGAATATGAATTTAATCCTCCCCGCCACTCTACCTGAATAGATTATCTTCTGGCGTTCAAATTCAGACGATGTATTAAATTATAGTTTTAAACATATTTGAACACAATTATATTAACATCATTATAAATTATGCTTATATAGAATAAGAGCCGTTATATATTTAAAGATATAAAAATTAACATATTATTTTACCGAAAATAACAATAAATACGAAAAATAATCTATTAAAATACATAATATGTCACTACCAG